TGAAGGTGGGTGCTGGCCCACCCCCCACAGAGGGAGCCTGGAGCCGAGACCAGCACTGTGGGAAGGAGGAGACCCCGGGGCAGTCCCTGGCTCCTTCCTGGGTGCTGGGTCTCTCTGGGCTCTGAGGGACTGGGGTAGCAAGGTACATAGAGGGCAGGGTGAAAGCCGGGCCCTCACCTGTGTGCGGCAGGCTATTTCTCTAGGAGTCTGGACCCTCTTGGTGGCAAGGGACAGAAACCCAACCTCGAGTAGCTTAAACCAAAAAGAAAAGAAGTATTTGCCGGTGACTGAAAGATCCTACAATATCAGCAATCTTGCCGTCTTTCAACTCTGCTTTCTGTGTTTGACCCATTCTCAGGGAGCTCCCTGTGTGGTGGCAGAGACGGCCCCAGTGACCGCGGCCTCTGTCCATCCGCTGGGCCATCCTGTGCAGAGCCTTCTTTTCCTAGTGGTTGTAGCGAGAGTCTCAGGCTCAACTTGCCTTGGCCGGTCCTGGGCCCACTCCTGACCCAGAGGCGGTGACCGGCTGGCTGGCTCCGGTCACGTGCCCGTCCACTAGAGCAAGTGGACCTGGAGTGATGTGAGAGCGCGTCTCGGGTGGTGTCTAGAAGGGCAATGGCAGGGTGGTGGCCCACACCTGCGGCTGAGGCGGGAGGATCCCTTGAGGCCAGGGGTTCCGGGCTGCAGTGAGCCGCGACTGCGCGGCTGCCTCCCAGCCTGGGTGACAGGGCGAGAGCCTGTCTCTCTTGGAGAAGAAAAAAGAACGAGAAGAAGGTAAATGGATCCCCAAACCACAGATGTCCACGCTGTATCCCTTGAGTCTATATGTTCTTTGCCCTGGTGGCCACTGTGTCCCCTGTACTGATTCATGAGTCCCTGGGAATTCAGAAAGGGGGATATTCATCAGGAAGTAGTTTCCGTGGTGAGAAAGATATCCCAAAATGCAGTGGCTTAAAGAAGATGTGTAATTTTCCTCATGTGAAAATCCCACAGGTGGTCCGGGGCCCATGTGGCAGCTGATGGTGTTGGGGACCCTGGGTCACCCTTTCTTGTTGCTCTGCCAGTCCTGGGGGATCTAAGATGGCCCCACACCGTGTCTTCTGGGTTTGCACCCAAACGGCAGACAAGAGGGAAGGGCAGGGGGCTGCACCATTGCTGCCCACGTGTCCTCGGCCCCGCACGGTCACCCAGCAGCACCTCATGGTGGGGGGGCCGGGAGAGCGAGCATGTGATCTGGGCGGCCCATGCCCGACTGATCATTGTTTTATCGTAGAAAGGAAAAGGGGCTTGGCGTTGCGCCGAAACTCACAATCTCTGCTGCCGATGGTGCCTGCAAGAAATAAGTTGAGGGGCTTGTGTGTGAGGGGGAAGGACCTGCAGTCCAGCTTACCTGTGACCCTCCCCGACCCTCCTCTGCAGGACCCCAACGAGGACGAGCCCAACCTCCGAGTCCTCCTCGACCACCGCTTCTATAAGGAGAAGAGCAAGAGTGTCAAGCAAACCTGTGACAAGTGCAACACTCTCATCTGGGGGCTCATTCAGACCTGGTACACCTGCACAGGTGGGCCGAGACCTAGACCCGTCCTGCTGGATGAGTGGTCTGGGTCCTCAGGGCAGGGCGCAGAAGCCAACAGCTCTGTTCCCGTATCCGGGTCACGTTCAGGTGAATGCTCCGCCGTGTTCTCAGCGGCTGAACCCTGCTGTGCGCTGGAGACGAGACCAAAATCCTGGCCCACACTGAGCTCACAGCCACACCTGAGCTGTCCAGGATGGTGGCCACTAGCTACCTATGGCTATGCAAATTTGAATGTTAATTAATTGAATATTCATTTCCTCAGTTGTACCATCTGCCTTGCTCGTACTCAAGAGCCCACGATGCTAGTGGCTGCCAGGTTGGACAGTGCAGAGAAAACATTTCCGTGATTGCAGAAAATCCCATCTGACGGTGCTATTCAGGATGAGAAGTCAGACTAGTGACGGACATGGTGTCTCAGACAATCACGGGACAGTGAAGAAAACTCAGGAACAGGAATAGCATGTGCTGGGGTGGAATGGGTATGACTTCAGGGCAGAAAGAAGAGACATCACGTGACATTTAAGCAAAAACTTGAAGGTCAGGGCACAAGTCAGGAGTATATCTAGGGAGGAATGTTCTGGTGCAGGGTAGTTAGGTGTGCAAAGGCCCTGGGGCTGAGGTGTGTCCAGTGTCTTCAAGAAGGAGCAGAGAGCCCTGTGGCTGGAGCTGCACATCTGAGGGATGTGGGCTTAGAGCCGGCTGGGGGCTTTTCTGTAACTGCAGTGGGGGCTACGAGTGGTTGTTGGACATACTTATGTTTTTTTTTTTTTTTTTTTGAGACATTGTCTCACTCTGTTGCCCAGGCTAGAGTGCAGTGGTGTCATGATAGCTCACAGCAACCTCAAACTCCTGGGCTCAAGTGATCCTCCTGCCACAGCCTCCCGAGTAGCTGGGACTACAGGCATGTACTACCACGCCTGGGTAGTTTTTAAATTGTTTGTAGGGATAGGGTCTTGCTATATTGTCCAGGCTGGTCTTGAACTCCTGGTCTGGGCTCAAGTGATCCTCCCACCCTGGCCTCCCAAAGTGCTGGGATTACAGGTGTGAGCTACTGTGCCCAGCCCATACTTAGGTGTTAACAGTGTCATTCTGGCTGCTGACTGAGCATGGATGAGGAGGGGGTGACACTCTGGTTGGGGCAGGATGGTGGGAGTAAGAAGTAGCTGAGTTTAGCGCCAGCTGCAGGTTTGGAAATGGATCGTAAGAGACGAGAATGGAGTCAGGACGACTCACGACGTTTGCTCCCAGCAGTGGAAAGATGGAGTTGCTGAAATCTGAGACGGGAAGCTGTGAGGAGGTTGGGAAGGAAGGGTGGGAATTCCATTTGTTCCATTTGGACAGCTTGGATTTGAGTTGGGAATGGCGGCTGGGCCACTGGATGTGCACATCTGAAGTTGAAGGGCGAGGCTCGGGGCACGGGGACAGGAGGGTCTCTGAGGTTCTAAGACCTACAGCAGTGCCAGGAGGTCTTGGCTCGGTCTGGGCCTTGGCGTGGAGCCCATGGGGGCAGGGGGCAGACAGCTGAAGGTCGCCTGGCTGCAGGGCCTCCCCCCATTTCTCAGGGTGTGTGTTTCGTCCCTGCCCCCAGGGTGTTGTTACCGCTGTCACAGCAAGTGCTTGGGCCTCATCTCCAAGCCGTGCGTCAGCTCCAGAGTCAGCCACCAAGCCGAGTACGAGCTGAACATCTGTCCCGAGACAGGGCTGGACAGCCAGGACTACCGCTGTGCCGAGTGCCGGGCACCCATCTCTCTGCGTGAGTGGTGGCCGGGAGCTGCTGGGCAGGGGGGCCAGGAGGGGCTGGGAAAGTCAGGTGGCTAGGCGAGGACCCGGGCGTGGTCCCTGAGTCTCCCACGCAAGCAGGCGAGGTCCCAGCCGTCTCAAGGCTCGCACACGTCCCCCAGGAGTTCCCGCAGGGCCGGACCTGACCTCAGCCTCCTGTGTGGCCCTTCGTCACACGGAGCCCACACAGACAGGGACCGGGAAAAACCACGCAGCCGTCCTGCACATGCACCCGCAGCCCTTCTCTCTAGAGAGTCACGGGTGTCAGTTCACGAGTCCCTTCGTAGTCCTGTGGCAGGGTCCTTTTACTGTCCCGTTTTACTGATGAGAAAACAGAGCAGTGAGATGCTGGAGCCCTGAGGTCCCACGGCTGAGAAGAGGGTGGACCAGGTCCGAAAGGTGGTGCCCTTGGCCCGGTGGGCTGTTTCCCCAGGGCTGTGGTCTAGGGGAGCATGGACCACGGGGCGTGGAAGCCGTGGGGGTGGCGGTGAGACCCCCACGGCCACTCTGATGCGCGGCGGCCGCGCCCTGCAGGGGGTGTGCCCAGCGAGGCCAGGCAGTGTGACTACACCGGCCAGTACTACTGCGGCCACTGCCACTGGAACGACCTGGCCGTGATCCCTGCGCGCGTCGTGCACAACTGGGACTTCGAGCCTCGCAAGGTCGGGGGTCGGGAGGCAGGGGATGGCCCCCGGGAGGGAGAGCCGCCGGGGGCGGGGCTGGCATGCCCTGGGTGGGCGATTGCTGGCCGCGCGGGCCTGTGGGGGGCAGGGTGCCGCCGGACGTGGTGCTGGAGGTGCCACCGAGCCCCGCCCTGCAGGTGTCCCGCTGCAGCATGCGCTACCTGGCGCTCATGGTGTCTCGGCCGGTGCTCCGGCTCCGGGAGATCAACCCTCTGCTGTTCAACTACGTGGAGGAGCTGGTAGAGATCCGGGTGAGGCTGGGCCCGGGGGTGCGGGGTGCTCCGTGGGGGGCCCCATGGCAGGGCCAGCGACCCTCTCCTCTGCAGGCCCTGGGCTGTGGGGGTTAAGCAGGAGGGAGACCACTGCTTAGGGTGAGCAGCCTCCTTGCCTGTCCTTCGATTTGAAGACGCTAGAGCCATGTCCAGAGCAATCTGATCTAGGCATGGAGACCATTTTAAATTTTTCTAGTAGCGACACTAAAACAGCAAAAAGAAACAGGTGAAGTTAATTTTAATAATATATTTTATTTAACCCAATATCTGTTTATTTAACCTAATGTAACCTAATGCACGTTGAACAGATTATTTCAACATGCAATCATACAAAATTATTGAGATGGTTTACATTCTTTTTCTTTTCTGTGCCACCTCTTTGGATTCCAGTGTGTATTCTACACTTACAGCAACCTCAGCCCAGACCAGCCACTCCTCAGTGGCCGCATGTGGCCCGTTCTCTTAGCCAGCGGTGCGGGGAGGGGGGTGGGCCGAGGGCAGAGGGTGCTACACTTTACGCCGGAGGTGGCATCGTCTCACATGGGTGATGAGGCAGCAAGTTGAGTCGCTGAGGCCATAGGGGCTGAGGAGGGAGCTGGGATTTTTCCGGAAGTTTGGCTCAGCGTGTCGGATGTGTCTGTGCTGTGTGAGGCTGCCGATGTCGCGTCAGGCGGCATTTCGTGCCTGTGGGGCTGAGGTCGGGTGAGTGGAAGGTTCCGTGGGCAACGACAAACGGACCTCAAGGTCCTGCCCAGCCAGAAGCCGTGGTTTGAACTTGAGCTTGGCTGGAGCACTCAGACCTGGGACCGTTCTGGGGAACTTGAGGGCACCGTCCCCAGAGTGCAGGGTGAGACGCCCGTGACCAGGGCTCCGTGTGACACTGGCACAGGGCCAGCCCTCGGCCGTGCAGACGTGGGCACAGTGTCGGCCCCGCCTTCTGGCTGAGGCCCAGCTGCTCCCCTTGTCCGCAGAAACTGCGCCAGGACATCCTGCGCATGAAGCCGTACTTCATCACCTGTAAGGAGGCCATGGAGGCACGTCTGCTGCTGCAGGTCAGACTGCCAAAAGGACTGGCCCAAGACGGGAGAGACAGAGAGAGCCAGGGTGACAGGGCGCCTCATGCTCAGATATTTTTTTATCCTCGTATGTGTAGTGCCGTTAGCAGAGGGTCTCCCGAACTATGTCCCAAGGAACAAAGCAAACAGGTATTCTACCCACAAAAGTGTTCTCATCATTTCAGTCTGGGGAACACTGAGGTTGTTGCTGTAGGTTTTCTGTCAATCTCCCCCAGGTAGACCCAGCCCAGCCCCCCTCCGGCAGGCTGACCACAAAACAGTCCTCAAGGCTCACCTGTGTATTTGTTCAACCGATATTCACAGACGCTGTTCTAGACTCTGGGGACCAGTGAGCAAAACAGGCAGGAATCTTTGCCCTTAGAGGGTACCCTTCGAGTAGGCAAGATGTCAGGGTGGTGAGCACTGCAGACAAGATAAGTCAGGGAGGAGGTGTGGAGCGTGTGGGGCGCAGTGTACACAGGGAGGGGACGGGAGCCGTGAGGTGGCGGTGTGGCTGGAGGGGCCGTATCGCGGGAGTGAAGAGAAACCTGTCCCTCGTCCCATCTCTCCCTGATGTCCCCCCCGGGCTCCTGGATTCTGCTCTTGGGGCCCAGACACAGACGCCATCTGAAGCTTGTTGCTTCCGTGGCACTGGGAGTGGCTCTGGGTGGGCCATGGGGGTCCTTTCCTGGTGCCTGGGGTCACGGCCACGGGGACTTGGCAGCTCCAGGACCGGCAGCACTTCGTGGAGAACGACGAGATGTACTCGGTCCAGGACCTCCTGGACGTGCGCTTGGGCCGGCTGGGCTGCTCCCTCACCGAGATCCACACGCTGTTCGCCAAGCACATCAAGCTGGACTGTGAGGTGGGCCTCTTTGCTCCACCGAGGTGGGTTCCGCTCTGGGGGGGCCGTGGGCGCTCTTCCTCTGCCCCCAGCCTGAGGGCGGGAGTGGGCGGGAGAAGCCCAGCCCGCAGTATCCCTGTCCTCGGACTGCCCTGCAGGGCTGACACTTGCCTGCCCGCCCCCAATCCCCACTGTCCCCGCAGCGGTGCCAGGCCAAGGGCTTCGTGTGTGAGCTCTGCAGAGAGGGTGACGTGCTGTTCCCGTTTGACAGCCACACGTCCGTGTGCACCGACTGCTCGGCCGTCTTCCACAGGTGGGTGTGGCTGGTCCTGCGGGAGCTGCCCCTGTGCGGGAGGGAGAGAGAGAGGGACATTTGCATCTTTCCTGCTGATTTTCAAAGCCTTTTCCCCATCCTAAGATACGGCGTTAGACCCTGCTGTCTGTGACGACACTAAAAGTCACACGAGGCCCCAGCCTGCCCCCAGAGGTGTTCACAGCACCTGAACCGCTTTCTCCGCTAGGGCTCAAGTCACTCTGTCAGGGTTAGTGTAGGTAGAGGTTCCCAAACTTTCTAGTTCCTGGCACCCTTTAGTGTCTTGGTAATTTTTTCAAAGTGTCCCTGGACCAAAAGAAATGCCTGCCACCTTGGTTTATTAAGTTCTTGTGTTCAACTTTATAAGTATTTATGTCCTAAAGCTTTATTTATGTCACTAAAGATTTAGTGGCTGTTTGGGAAAATGACACACAAAAATTGGAAGAAAAATATTTTAATTTCACTTTTCAAGAAGCACAATTACTTACTAATGATACGTGTTTGTGTCCTGGGCCCGGCACACCTTCTTAAACCTGGAGTCAGGTAGGAAACACCACCCCCATCTCCATCCACTGGTTTTTGCGAGGCATTTGCTATTTATCATAGCACCTGCCGAATCCCAGCTCTGAGAGGCTGTGATGTCACAGAAGGAACTGTAGCAAAAACTAACATTGCAACCGAACTCCCTGGAGCTAGGAGTTTGCTTGGTGTCTGACAGATGTCAGATTTGCTGTGTTCTCTTCAAAAATCTAAACTGGCCTGTGGAACCCCCTGCAGTGCCTTGGGGTGCCCTGATGCACAGTTTGGGAACCACCGTGGAGGCCAGTGGGGATAAGGACAGGTGGTGACAGTCACTGAGAGGTCAGAGCCAAGGTGACCGCCTGGTTCAGCCCCTTCCGCTCGTGTCTTGGTGACCCAGGCCCTGCGCCGTCAGGGATGGCGGGTACTGTGAGGACCCTGAGGGAGGCCCCTCGGCATCCTGGGTAAGTGCTCACCATACTCTGACCTCACGGTCGGTCACCTCTGGGCACAGACCCTGCTTCTGCCCTTGGGTAACATCTCTGCACCTCAGTTTCCCCACCTGTAGAGGGGTGATGGGATCTGACGTAAGCAGCTTGTGAGGACGCAGCGGTAGAATTTTTCGAGCGGACGGCCCCAACCTGTTCCTGCCCCCAGGGACTGCTACTACGACAACTCCACCACATGCCCCAAGTGCGCCCGGCTCAGCCTGCGGAAGCAGTCACTCTTTCAGGAGCCTGGTCCCGACGTGGACGCCTGAAGCTGAAGGAGGACACCGGGTGCCCCGCCTGGACTACCTGTCGCCGACCCCGCTGGCATTGCCAAAGTCAAGTTTGTTCCGCTCTGGAGACCCCTGGGGTGAAGCCCCTGGACCTCTCCACCCCTGTGGGGGTAGAGGGAGGTGGTGAGCAGGACTGTCATCCCCCAGGTGCTTTGTGGCACTCGGGGCGGCTGCACCTGGTTGTTACGTGGTTGTGCTGCCATGTGGGGTCCCCTCCCCCACTGCAGGACTCCGTGGAGTGAGGGAGGACTTCTAACTTCCCCCACTGCACAGAGCCCTCCGTGCCCCTGGGCCAAGGCTTCTGGGCTCTGGAGACGCCATGAGCCCCGTCCCAGCCACTCTGGAAACTTGTCAGGCCAAGACCCCCAGAGGGCTTCAGAGCAGGGGTCACTAAGACCTGAGGATGCCCCGGGCCTGAGTTTCGCCTGCAGTGGTAGTTTGGGTTCTACCTGGAGACTCCCACTGCCTCCAGCCACTTGTCTGTGGGGGCTTCTGTTTGTCCCTGGCGGGAGCCATTCAAGATTGTCTCCCATGGACCTGCCCATCTTGGCCTCCTGAGGTTCTTTTAAGTCCTCCTGGGAGGTCTGGGAGGGAAGGGGGCTGTGGAGCTTTTCCCTCCTGGGCACACCTGTTGCTGCTCCTGCCATGGCCCAGCCCACCTTATCCCCTGGTTCTTCAAGCTGGGAGGCTGGGGGTCCAGCCTGAGGAGGGTATCCCGGCCTCCAGGTGTGGCACAGGGGCTGTGCCCCAGTGGAGGTTCCAGGTCAGGCAACAGGGTCATTTACAGTAGGCCTGGGTGGCATTTCTCAGGACCAAATTTGTCCCTGAGGAGCTCTGTCCTACTGCCTGTGGAGGGCTCTGGCTGGCTTGGAGATGACCAGCCAGGGGCCTCTGTGTGTGTGTGCCTCAGCTCAAGAGCTGGGAGTATTTGCTGTCTTCCTCACCTGCCCCTCTGGATGACAAAGTCTTTAAACAGTGTGGGTCTTCCTACACAAACCTGGACATGAAGCCTAGAGCCATGCAGAAGGATGAGGGCAAGGGGGTGTGGGAGGTCCCTCATTCCACGTGACAAAGGGCCCCTGGACAGCAGACAAGACCTACAGCTCTTCAGCAGGGAGAGGGGGCACACTTGGCTTCCGTGTTTGCACTTTATAGATCCTGCGTTGAGGGGCTGTAGGAGGGGACAGCCTGGGACGTGGCTTCCCAGTCTTTTGCCTCTGGGAAGCAGAGGTGGCTGCATCTGCCTTCCTCCTCCTCTCCCTGGACTGTGCTTGGCTGTTGATGCACGTGGTTGGCACACGTGGGCAGAGGGCAGGGACCGTAGCTGCTGGGACAACCATTTCCTTTGGCGGGAAAGCCCAAGAGGAGATGCCTCAGTCAGCAGAGAGGCCAGCTTGGCTCACTGGCCCCCTGAGGGTGGACAATGACAGCGTCACCTCCTCCTTGCCCCTCTGCACCGTCAGGAAAGGGATGGTATCATTTCGCCCCACACCGTGGCTTTAGACTCGGCTCTTGCTGTCTGTCCTGTCTCACTCTCCCCATCTGGGAGATGGGGGCCGTGGTGTGGACCTACCTCAGGGTGGAATGGTGAGAAGGGACCCAAGTCCTTTAAAGAGGGGGCTGTGAGGTCGGGTCAATGGTGGGTCCCTGTCCTGCTTTCTCCTCTTCTTTGGGGCTGAAGAGGGGGTTAAAGGCCAAATGCCTTTTTCCTACGTCCTTAAATCTGTGCACTTCTCACCACTGTATTGCATTTCTGTCATAGGAATACTGGCCATTCCCGAACCTCCTGTGTAATCATCACATCCCAGTTAGAAATCACTGTGTCCGTAGAAAAAGCAGGCTGGCATTTGTCGGACAAAGGGTTGGGTCATCTTTTAACCTACCCAACATTTCTTCCTCACCTGCCCTCTGGATGACAAAGTCTTTGAACTGAATCATGTGCGGGTCTTTCTCCACGTCCACAGCACGGTAGGGAGAACCCAGCAAGGAAACGGTTTGCATGAGCGGCGTCTTACGGAAGAGCTCACGCAAGGGTGATTCTTTAGTGTGGGATTAGGCTGGCCTGAAAGATGCCTGGTTGTAACATTGCCACTGTCACTGTCCCATTAAATTGGTGTCCTGTAGACTCTGGTGTGTGTGGTGAATTGGAGACAAGGCTGAGAGTGTGTTGATACACAAGCCAATGGTAGGCTTAGGGACTAACAACCCCATCCAGTGGGGTTGAATGTAATCTGGTTTGGGGTGAAGTACCGTTTCTTTCTTTTTTCTTTTTCTTTGTTTTTTTTGAGACAGGGTCTCACTCTGTCACCCAGGCTGGAGTGCAGTGGCATAATCACAGCTCACTCCAGCCTCAGACTCCTGGGCTCAAGCAATCCTCCCGCCTCAGCCTCCCCAGTAGCTGGGACTGCAGGTGTGTACCGCCACGCCCAGCTATTTTAAAATTTTTTTATAGAGTTGTGGTCCTGCTTCGTTGCACAGGCTGGTCTTGAACTCCCAGCCTCAAGGGATCCTCCAGCCTTGGCTTCCCAAAGTGCTGGGATTACAGGCATAGGACACTGCACCTGGCCATAATTCTTTTTGATTTTTAAAATTTTTTTCCTTTTTTTAAATTTCAGCATATTATAGGGGTACAAATGTTTAGGTTACACATACTGCCTTTGCCCCACCGGAGTCAGAACTTCAAGTGTGTCCATGCCCAGACGGTGCGCACTACACCTATAAGGTGTGAATATACCCATCCTCTCCTCCCCTCTCCCACCTGCCCAACACCGGATGAATGTTACTACTATATGTGCATATAAGTGTTGATCGGTTAATACTAATTTGATGGTGAGTACATGTGGTGCTTGTTTTTCCATTCTTGTGATACTCATGTTTCTTGATTAATTAGGAGAAGTACATACGCTGGTGTTAGAGCGAGGCCTGAGTCGGCTCCGACACGTGTGGGAAAGTTACACAGTTTCAGCCTGCATTTCTTCTGTGAGATGGGATTACAACATACACCTCGTGGGGTTTTTAGCGTTCCAAGAAGCGTTTAGGGCTGTTCCTGGCAGGCCGGAAATGCTCAGTAAATAGAGCTATGTCTTCTTTATAGAGTCCTCTCGTTGGAAGGGCTGCCTCATTAGCTTAGGCGACGAGAAACTGGCCAGTTATGCAAATCCCAGGAGACTCAGCATAAGTCTTATCCAGCTCCTGGGAGCCTCTGTCAGCTCCATAAGTGAGACCCATGAAAAGGGCCCTCACCGTAGCTCAAGGCATTCCCATTGCCCTTGACTAAGGACAACTAATGGATGTACTTCAGGGGAACCATAAACTCTCCTTCCAGATGAGATTCAAAACTCTGTTTGTGTGCATTTTTCTGCAGAGACATGATCTACGGTTTTGACCAGGATCTCACAGAGGCTATGACCTAGGAAACGCCAGGAATGTGCTGTGGAAGGTGTCTTTATCCATAATCAGGGGGCTGGGCGGGGGCGGGGGCAGGAGGATTCCAGGGCTGTTGTGGGTGGGTGCTGGGACGTCTGAGTACATGCCTCCAGTTAAAAACCACAAGCACTAAAGCTGCACTTTGGATATTAGAGGACACAATCGTTTTTCCCCGTTTAGGTTATGAAATTGTTTTTCTTTTAATATTTTTTATTTTGACAAATTTAGACTTACAGAAAAGTTGCAAAAACATTCCCATTTGCCCATCTCCTCGATTCCCTAAATGTTAACATTTTGCGCCATTTGCTTTATTCTTTCTCTGCACCTACATTTTTTTTCTCAACCATTTGATAGTACGTTGCAGAGACGATCATGTCCTTTGCTTCTAAATACTCGAGTGTGTTCCCGCAAAACAAGGACATCACCTTACATGACCATGGCCACATTTATCAAATAGGCAATTATCAAAATCAGGACAATGACACTGAGAAAATACAAAACCTACAACAAGCCTTGTTCGGATGTCATCGACCTCCTCCCCCTCCCCCCAGACCACACATTACATTCGGTTACCATGTCTCTTTGACCTTTAATATGACGAAACATTGACATTTTTGAAAAGTGCAGGCTATTTTGAAGAATGTCCCTCAGTTTGGGTTTGGTCTCAGATTCAAGCTTTGCACTTTTGGCAGGAATCCATAGCAGTGGTGCTGTGTGTACCAGGAAGCACACAATGTCAGTTTGTCCCACTGTGGGAAATCTGGGTAGGGTGGTGTCTGCCGGGTTTCTCCACTATGAGATTACTATATATTCCTTTGTCATTAGTACGTATCTTGTGGGAAGATACTTTGAGACTATAAATATCCAGTTACTCCTCAAACTTCCACCCCTGATGTTGGTATCCACTGATAATTATCACCTAATTCAGTTATTACAACGATGATTGCCAAACGGTGATTTTCTAATTCCATTGCTGCTTCTGCATCTTTCTATCATACGGAAGAGCTTTCCCTCCTCCCTGTTTATTTACTTATTCACTCAAGGTCCTATTTTACTCAATGGGCTGTAATCCTTGTAATTATTTCAATTCTCAAATTATCCCAGATTTGGCCAGTGGAAGCCCTTTCAGCCTGTCTCCTGTGTCCTCCTGGCATGTGCTTGTCATTCTTTAAACCCTCGCTTACTTTCTTGCACAGCAAGGCGTTCCAGGCTCATCTATACTCTCACAGTCTCAGCCCTGAAATCAGCCGCTTCTCCTAGGAGCCCTGATTCTTTTTATGTATGATGGTATCAGTAACCAAGATGTAGTTGCTGGGTGTGCTTATTGCTACGGTTTCTGGGTTCTTTCCACAGACAGAGCCAGGAAAAAGCACTCCCTACATCTGTATCTATTTCTCTATGATTTGTCTTTCAACATATTAAAAACCATGAGTACACACTCATACTTTCAATTTCAAAACATTTCTATTGGGCTCATTTTGTCTGTTTGTCATATTTGATTCCTTGACAGTGGAAACCTGGCTCCATTATCCACATGTGCTCAGTCCTAGAATAAAGTACATTCAGCATTGCTCATCCATACGTCTGAGAAAGAAGCCCACTAACTGGAGTTAAATATTTGTTTAGAGTTCTTTTTGTCTTTAGCCTGAGGGCATATAGGTAAAACACAGTGTTCAGAACTTACTTGGGTATTTCTCCCCTTTCATTGTGGTTACATTGTTCATTTGAAGCACAGTTCTGTTCGGTTCTGTTCGTATATTCCATTTTATTTCCCTACCCTTGTTCATTTTGTCTGATCCTGATATAGTAACACGGTTACAAAGGTCAGAACATTACAAAAGGTGTACTCAGTCAGGTCTCCATCCCCCCTCCTCCCTGTCCACCCGCCACACCTCCCTAGGTAACCGATCTCTTTATAGTCTCTGGTTTCTCCTTCCTGTGTTTCTTTTTGCACAAACGAGTAAGATACGTGTATATTTTCTATTTCTATTTTCAATTTTCTTCCATAAAAGGTAGCATACTATCTTCTTGCATATTGCTTTTTTCACTTAATACTGTCATATATCCTGGAAACCACATCAGTTCCTAGAGTTCTACCTCATTCTATTATTATTTTCATAATTTACATCTGTATCATATTCCATTGCATGGAGTTACTATTTCTGATTCAACCACTCTTCTATGAATGAATACTCAGGCTGTTTCTGAGCTTTTGCAGTTACAAATAAGGCTGCAGTGAGTAACCTGTGCACATGTGTTATCTTCTGTTGGAGGTGCATCTTCAGGATACAATTCTAAAATCGGATTGCTGAGCCAAATGTATTTTTTGAATTTTTTCTATTTTTTTTGTTTTTTTGAGATGGGGGTCTCACTATATTTCCCAGGGTAGACTGGAACTCCTGGGCTCAAGAGATCCTCCCACTTCAGCCTCCTGAGTAGCTGAGACTAGAGTTGGGGGACATTGGACCTGGCAAATCTATTTTTTGTGTGTCAAATGGCCCTCCATCATGGTTGTACCAATTTGCATTCTCACCAGCAATGGATGAGAGTGTCTGTTACCCCATAGCCTCACCGACAGAACGTGTTCATACTTTTCAATATTCGCAGTGAGAAATGGTATCTGTGTAGTTTTATTTTGCATTTCTATGATTATGAATGAGGTTGAACTTATTTTCATGTTTCAGGATCTCTTTTGTTTATGAATTATGTCTTTAGCCCATTTTTCTATTGGATTTTTGCTATTTTTTCTTCTTAAAGAGCTCTTCACATATCAGGGATATTAGCCTGTTATCTGTGAGATATATTGCACATATTTTCTTTCAGTTTGTAAATTGCTTTTTGACCTTATTTGTGGTGTTTTCTTTCTTATGGAAGAGTTTTGCTTATGTTTTTATATGGTCACATTAATATTTTATTTCGTCTGGATTTGGAGTCATATATATCTCTCCCTGCACCCAGGTTAAAGAGGCATTCACACATGGGTTTTTGCAGTACTTGCATGCTTTCACTTTTTAGATTCCTGATCCATTTGGAGTTTATTCTTGTGTAGGCTATCACAGATCTAACTTTTTCTAATTGTTAACCAGTTGTCCTGCACCATTTTTGAAAAAGTCTATCTGAATCCATTTCTGGACTTTCTATTCTATTCCACAGGACTATTTAATTCTGCCTCACAGATCTGACAGCTACACTGCTTTAATTACAGAGGCTTTTACAGTGTGTTTTAACGTCTGGAAGGGCTAGTCTCCCCTTTGCAATTTTTCTTTTTTAAAAAATGTTTTCCTGGCTATTCTTGCATGTAGTCTTTTTCAAGCACATGCTTAAATAACATTTTGATGACACAAAATTTGATACTGTGAGGTGTCAAAATGGAAATGCCAACAGCAAGGTTTCCAGGGATGTTAAACATCTGGAAGCAGAGAGGCTTGGCTGGGCCTCAACTGTCGAGGTCATCTTGGTGCTTCAGGCTTTAGTTTGATTACTCTTGGTAACACAAACTGAAAAATGACCTAAGATCGTTGCTGGGAGTGCTGCTTTTTCTCATTGTACAATTCCCTGTAGCAGTTTATTGCATCATTGACTGCTCTTGAAACTTTCGGTATCCACTCACCATTAGGGCAGTTACTATAAGGACCTGCAAGCCGGCCTCAAAATGTGAGAATGCTGCTGACGATTTTCCCGTGGTTAGTTGGTGCAGGGCAGGAGGTGCATCTTCACTCTCCTCCTCTCCTGCTGCCTGCTCCTGTCCCAGCTGCATCAGCTCCTGGTTTGACAGATCTTCTTCACGAGACCGCAGCAGCTGGTCCACGTCAGCCTCTACTACCTCTGCCAAGGCCACACGCTTGGCAAGCGTCATAATGTTTTGCGGAAGCTGTGAAATGGTATCTCTCTGGGGAAAACTCTGGAACTGAACACACTCAGGCCAAATCTGCCACACACTGTTCATTATTGCTGGTTTGAGCTCCCCCCAAGCCACCGCAATGTTGTCCATGGCATCCGTGATATTGTAGTTTCTCCAGAACTCCCTGATCATAGCTATATCCTCACCATCTGTTGCTTCTAGGATGTGCTCAGAAGTCCTTTTCAGGTAATGCGCTTTGAAGGTACAGGCTACACCTTGACCCATGGGCTGGATTGAGTCGGCTATGCTGTCATGAAGATATTCTACTCTTCCGTTATCAGAAAGATCACTCAAATTTACTAGGTGGCATGGTGCATTGTCTAGGATGAGCAATGCTTTGTTGGTGAGATGATTTTGGGCACAGTAGTTTTCCTTGGCAGGGCAAAAAAAATATGTGAACCAGTCATGAAAGATGCTTCTGGTTGCCCAAGCCTTTTTGTTTGAGCACCAAATCACAGGCAAATTGGGCTTTGAGAACCCCTTCAGGGCCTTGGGGGTTTCCAAGTGGTATACCAGTAAGGGCTTCAACCTAAAGTCCCCAGCTGCATTGCCACCAAGAAGCAGCATTGAGCGATCTTTGGATGACTTAAACCCTGGCTCAGCTTTCTCTTCCTTGGAAATAAATGTCCCTTTAGGCATTCTCTTCCAATAAAGTCCTGTCTCATCTACATTAAAAACTTGCCGGGGGGTATACTCACCTTCTTCAATGATGCTTTTCAGCACTTTTGGATACTGGTCCTTGTTGTTTCTGGGACCTGTGCTGTTCATCTTGAAGTGGGGCAAACAATGGCACTCCTTGAATCTCACAAACCACCCTTTACCTGCACTAAACCTTTCCGTTTGAGAGCTTTCTCCTTGTTCACGCTGTAAGTCGTCAAACAAACTCTTAGCCTTCTCCTGAATGACAGTGACACCCAAGGGCACATTTCACTGGCTCTGGTCTTCCAGCCACCTGCTCAACAATTGCTCCATGTTCTCCATGACTGCACGTCGACGTCGAGTCAACCGAGAGGCTCTCAAGGAAGTAGCTATTTGTGAACTCGCTTTGATTTTTTCTTTATTATCTCGGATGGTCACCACCGTAGAGACAGCGAGGGCTAAGGCTTTTGTGATTTCACTGACCTTTTCACCTGTTTCAAATCGTCTTAACATTTCTAATTTGATGTCAAGGGTAATTGCTTTCCGTTCCCTTTTGGTACTAGGGGTGACAGTTGCATTTAGGGGCCCTTTCCCAGGCATGTCTGCCTCGAAAATGTAATAAAATCACAGCACCCTCAGGTGCAAGAAGACTGGTTATGCTCCCCTGCAGAACTTGGGAAAGAGAAAACGAGGGGGCAAATAGCGCAGGCCGATGCTCCTAGAGACGTGGAGGGGACACCACAGGCCTGCCCAGCCCCATTGCCCAGGAACGGGCTGGTTCGCTCTCGACTCCAAGGAGGTCCGCGTGGGCCTCGATGGTGTCAAAGTCCAAATTCCTGGACAGCAGAGCCGCAGACAGCAAAAGTGGCGTGAGGTTCTGTGGCTGCAGAGAACCACCAAGTAACCAATCAACCAAACGTCAATCCATAAAAGGGAACAATGCGGCACAACCTCCACCTCATCAGTTCCTTTGTTCACGACCCACATTGGCGCAACAGCCAAACTGGCTGCGGCACACGCAGGGACACCTGTCACGCGGCCGACGTCCGCGGGCGGGGCGGCGCAGCGCGAGCGTTCACTTTTGTGAGTCGCTTCCCATGGAGGACCCCAGAAGTGAGTGTTCTTGGAGATGCCTGACTTAAGAGAAGTCTAAAAGCGCGAGGACACTTCTTAGCGCCGAGCCCGAGTCGGCAGCGGGGGTTTCTGCGCTCAGCGGTCTGGGCAGGGCGAGGCGGCGCTCATGGCGAGCTCCTTGGCTAGTCAGGCGGAATGGTAGACACCTAAGAGAGGTCCCCAGCCGGCGCCGTGGCCATACTGCGCACGCGCGCGGCCTCCCTGAGCCGGCGGCGGGCATGCGGGGGTGCGGTGCCCTATGACCTGTCTGCTGTTGCGCGTGCGCGCGTCGTAGCGGCGCGAGGTGGGGGGCGGGGGATGTCGTACCGGCTAGTGGCAGCTGCCGGAAGTCGGACGGTGACCGGGCCCCTCGCCGTGGTGTGGCGATGTGCCGGTGGCCCGGGAGGCGACAGGACGGCTGGGACCAGCGTGAGGGCCCTTGGCATCGCCCGACGGGTGAGCATGGAGGCGCTGTCTGCCAGTTCCGGGCGCCCGGGCTGTGCGCGACGCCGCGGTGACGCCATCCATCTGCGCCAGCCGGCGCGGGGCAACAGGGGCAGGCCACACCCCGGAGCGGTGGCCGCGGCCCCTGCGGCTCGGCCCGAGTCCCTTGCGATGAGGCCGGCTGCCCCTGGCCGGAACCTCCCGCTCCCTGGCCGCACTCTCTCCGTCCTCCGAGCTCTTCCTCCTCGCCTGCACGCTGCTGCTTCCACCCACTTCTTCCGAAATTCCCGCTGTCTCTCAGATGCCCGCCCCTTTGTCCGTTCCCCTCGGGAAAGTGAACAGCGGCCTCCGACCTCCTTTCTCTCCTCTCCAGAGAGCCACGTTAGCTCTTGAGTCCCGCCCCACCGCGAACCAGCCGTGTTGCTTAGACTGGGAGGCTCAGCGGTATTAACACCTCTGCTTTATCTACCTCACAGAGTTGCTCTGCAAACCAGATATGGCAACAGACGTGAAAGAGTGTTGTGAACTGTTCTTTATTCAACGAACGTTCGTTGAGCCCAGCTCTACCACTCTAATAACAGCTAATACTGTTTGCAGGCTTACGTGCTGAGGGCTTTACAGGGATTATCTCATTTTAGTCTTAAACCAGTCCCGTAGGTATGTATTAGTGTAACCCTACTTTATAGACAAAGAAACGTATGGAATATTCCATGTTTTAAGGTTGTTTTATTTTTGTATTGATACTTCCCAGTGGACAGCGGTCACAGTGAATTTTTTTTCTAATGCACTAATGCAGAAGTTTTGAATTTTGCTCCCAGAAAGGTATCATGGTTTTCCGAGTAGTAAAATAGGAAGAAGGATTCCATGAACTTATTTTCTGTCCTGTCTTCAGGAATGAACTGTCCCCCCTCATCTCCATTCATTTGGGGAACTGCAGGGTAGTTTTGTTTTTAGCAATATCGGTGAAAACAGTCTTTCACCTGTGGTCATGTGGCATGTCAGCATTGCAAAGGGTTGTTCTAGTTAACATGGGTCAAAAGTCAGTAATATACTAACTGTATACATCCTGGTATAGCACAGGTGAGTCCTGAATCGCTAACTGCAGTGGGCCTCCATGTCTTTATGAAGGAAGGAAGTTGGATGATCTTGGGTCCCTTCCTAGACTGAGTCATTCATCCTTATCTCGTTTATTAGGCAAATATCTGTTGGCAGTCTACTGCCACGGAATATCATGGTGAACAAGACAGGCACAGGCTCAGCCCCATGGTCTGCCCTCCTTTGAGGACTTCAGGATTGGTGGGCTGAGGGTGCATGCGAAGGCAGGAGAGGTGGTGGCACTCTGTTTTCTAATTAACCCTAACAGTCAGCACTGCCCAGGGGAAGCTCGTGTTGTGGAGTTTTCCACGTGGTCATCTTTCATTCGATTCGCTACCTACCCTGTCCTTGCTCTTGTCTCACACTTGTGCTCCTAGCGCTTTGGGAGCCCAAAGCGGGACGATTGCTTAAGGCCAGGAGTTTGAGACCAGCCTGAGCAAGAGGAGACCCTGTCTCTACAAAAAATAGAAAAATTATCTGGGTGTTTTGGTACACGCCTGTAGTCCCAGCTACTCAGGAGGCTGAGACAGCAGGGTTGCTAGAGCCCAGGAATTTGAGGTTGCAGTGAGCTATGATAACGCCATCGCACCCTAGCCTGGGCAACAGAGTGAAACCCTGTTTCAAAAAACAAAAAACAAGCAAACAAAAAAACCCCAAAGGAATTGGATGTTTTGGAGGCCTGAAGAGTCATACTTTGTACCTCAAGGGCTGTAGGCTACCTGGGGTCTATTGAGCCCCAGCACAGGATACCCTGTCTTTGTAGTCGTCCTGGAGAAGCCCTGGAAGGTTTGGGTACCAGCATTCTCATCACGCATCTGCAGCTACGTTGTCTTACTTCAGGCACTCACGTTACCTCTTAATTTCTGCTTTTCTGTCTCTGCAGTGGGGGTGATAGCATCTCCTTTTTCAGATGGGCAGTGAGGATTGAATGAGGTGACTGAGAAGCTCCTGGCACCCTCCAGTGCCCAGTAATGACCACCTGCTGTTCTCTGTGTGGATTTCCTGTTGATCCATACCTTGGTCCCAAGCCCCAATCAGGGTAATGCACCTTCATGGCATCTTTTGAGTTTCGTTGTTCAGTCTGTGTCGGGTACCGTGTCTCGTTGGTGCTGGGATGACTTGCTGCAGCAGATTGATTCATTCCCGGTGCAGAAGCCCTCATTAACCCTACGGCCTTTACTTGTGTGGTGTGGTGTCATCACCATTACTGCCAGCATCTCCTTTCTGAGCTTCTTTGTTTGGATTTTTCCCTAATTTTCATGTCTTTTTCATAGCACGTCTTAATTTTCAGTCTATAGTGGCCTTTCATATGGAAATTTGAATAATTTAGTTGATTAGCAAGTTACTAACTGGGAAATGAACTTATTTTGGGGTAATAGCCTACAATAATTTTTGGGGTAAGAGCCTGCCTCACCCTGAATGTTGATGCTGCTAAAATAACGTAGGTGTTGTCAACTGTGTCAACTGAGTCTGATTTCATGACAACAAAATACTGAGGACGATCCAAATTCTTTGGTTATGTTGGGATTTTTGTAGAATACAATTAGCAATAGGTTCTTGAGTGTGCTTAGTTGTTTTTTAAGTATGTTGCAATAGTTTTTGTTTAATGGCTTTAGACTTACAATAGTGAAAAATACAAATTGTTTCTAGTCCTGTCCTTAACTAATGTGTTAGTTATTGTTAGCAGCTTATGGTAAAAACTGATATTTTCCTCCTTGAGGACTGAAGAAAATACAGGAAGGTCTGGAAAATTGTTTGCCTTCTTGGTCTGACAAAAGCATTAACCTCTTGCTGGGCACAGTGATGTGGGCCTATAGTCCCAGCTACTTGGGAGGCTGAGGCAGGAGCATCAGTTGAGCCCAGGAGTTTGAGGCTGTAGTGTACTATGATCACACCTGTAAATAGCCACTGTACTCCAACCTGTGCAGGACAGTGAGACCTCATCTTTTTTAAAAAAAAAAAAAATCAACTTCTTGGCTGATCAAAGATGAGTCATAGTATATTTCAGTATTTTCATTTAACACAATCTTAGATTTTAGTCTTACGTTTGTTTTTGAAGTTGTAATATTTTAAGTTACTAAAATTGCCTCAGTTACTAAGTCATGGTTAGTTTTTTTGTTTTGGGGGGTCTTTTTTTTTTTTGAGACAGAGTCTCACTCTGTTGCCCGGGCTAGAGTGCCGTGGCGTCAGCCTAGCTCACAGCAACCTCAAACTCCTGGGCTCAAGTGATCCTCCTGCCTCAGCCTCCCGAGTAGCTGGGACTACAGGCATGCGCCACCATGCCCGACTAATTTTTTCTATATATTTTTAGTTGTCCAATTAATTTCTTTCCATTTTTAGTAGAGATGGGGTCTTGCTCTTGCTTAGGCTGGTTTCGAACTCCTGAGCTCAAACAATCAGTCCGCCTCGGCCTCCCAGAGAGCTGGGATTACAGGCGTGAGCCACTGCGCCTGGTCCGTTTCTGGGGGTCTTTTTGCTTGCTGTAGCTATAAAAATTCTTTTTGCATTTATGCAGTGAATTTGTTCCTGTTTATCCTATTTGAATCATACTTTTAATAGTATATTTAAGCAGGTGAATAAAGGGAGCAAGCTTCTATCTCAGCCTGCATCCTGCCTCTTCCAGCCCTTCCTGAGAAAATGCTGCATTGTATTGCAGAAGCAGCTAGTAAAGGAATCCTGTCTCTGTTTCAGTGCCTCCAGGTGATCCGCTCTCAGCAGCTGGCTCTGCAGGGGAGACCTGTGTCATTTTCCCAGCGGCTGTGTTCAAAACCACCCAAAGGTACCTGTCTTTCTTCTACCATCATTAGCAGCAAGAGGTTTACGGGAACTGTGTCTCCCACAGTGATTATCCAGGGGACGAGGAGCAGGAGAACTCAGGCTGCCCCGTCCTCCCCTGTGCTGGCTTCCATATTGAGCCACATGACAGCAGCTTCTCCATGCCTTTACTGTTTTTTATATCTTAGTAAAGCTGGTGAAAGAGAAACTCCTTTAGAAGCAGATTTCTAGGTGAATCTTTTGGAAGGTGTGGGAACAAATTTTTGTTTCTGCATATCTGACTCTGAGGACCAGCCAAGCCTCATGTTTGGAAAGTAAAACAGAGATGATGTGCAGACTATAGTTAGCCTAGAGCACATTTGTCTGCTTAGAGCCCTTGAGAGCAGGCTGTGGGCCTATGTTTAGTGCCACAGGGACAGTGCTCACAGAGACCACTGGAGACCCCGTGTCTCACAGAGGAGAAGATGTGCCCCAGCATTAGGGTGTAGGGGTGCGTGTTGATTGTATCAAGCAAGAAGAAAGACAGGAGAGAAAACTGAGTTCTCTCCTACTTCCTCTGTCCTGATTTGACATTATGATTGTTTTTCTGAGTGTGCTTCTTTCTCCTAAAGTACTAGAACCTCATCATTTTGTCCCTAAGGGTTTGAGAAGTACTTTAAGAGGGGTACAAGAAACAGACTCAAAAAATCAGTTGGTCCAAAAAAAGATAAAAGGGCCAATTTGACAAATTAGACTGTCAGGTTTTACATTTGAGTATTTTTAAAACATTCACTAGTTTTGGGGTTAATCTCCTTGGGAAGTAACAGCACGTGGGTCTGTGAGTGTGTGATGTTGATGTTCTCTTCCCTTGTGTGGGGGCATCACCCACGTCACTCTGTTCCTTGCCTTTCTCTCTCAGCATCTTCTCACCTTGTTTGGACCCTCAGCCTTGACAAATCATCTTTTAAATTATATCATGGTTTGGTGATGTGGATTGGGTTTGGGAATTGGTGAAGTCAGTGTTATTCGATGTGTTTCTCCTGTGAAATGTTTCCTGCTCGGGTGCCTGTGATCATGGAATAGGAAACGTAGGAGTGCGTGAGGACGTACCTTGCTACACATGGAATGTTTCTGTAAAGACTCATGCTTTGTCCTAAAATTCGTGCACATTTTTACTTTATTTTATAATATGATTTTTTTCATTCCTGGGGTCATTCCTTGGCCTTGTCCATGTTGTCATGGTATTATTTTGGGGTCACAGGAAGAGGCTAATGGGACTCCACTTTGATATCACAGTCCATAGGTCACAACTGTACACAAGGGGCAAGATTTTCCGAGGAGGGGTGGACTCTGCTTAGAGCAGGTGACGAGCATTATGGTTCTCTTAAGAAGGGGGACACCTGTACCAGCCTGCCTCACCATTTTCTTTCCTTCCTGCTTGCTTTCCTTTCCGTAATTCCAGCCAATGTTGGGACTGTCAGCCAAAAGAATTGTTGCCATCGAAGCTCAGGCTTGAAGCCAGCAAGGTGAAATTTGAGGGACTTTAGATGTATCTAAAGCTACTCCTTGACAATAGTTTCTTCCTCTTCCTGTTCCCTGTTTATTTCCAGAAGGCATCGGTGTTATTAAAATTATATGTCGTAAGTGTTTTCTATTCTCTTAATCTTCTTTCTCTGGAAAATCATATGTAATTGTTTTCTAAAGTCAGTCTTTGTTTTCTCTTAGAAACTGGTGACCTCAAGAATGCCGGGCCTAGAGGAGATGGAGGCAGGAGAGGAGGGAAGCAGGGAGGCTCTGCCTGGTGGACACGGATACGAAAGGTTTGTGTGGGTCTGAGGCCCAGACCCAGACCCTGCCCCTTCCCCAGCAGATGCAGTCACTGCAGAGCCCAGGGTTTGTGTGATCTTTGTCTTAGTCCATCCTGCTGCCATCACAGAATACCGGAGACTGGGTAATTTATAAACAGGATAAATTTATTGCTTACCATCCTGGAGGCTAGAAAGTCCAAGATCCAGGTGCTGACAAGTTTGGTGTCTGGTGAGGGCCTGATTTCTGCTTCCGGGGTGGTGCCTTGAATGCTGCCTCCTCCAGAGGGGACGAATGCTGCGTCCGCCTCACAGGGTGGAAGGGATGAACTTTCTCCCTCAAGCCCTTGTGTAAGGGCACGAATCTCATTCACGAGGGCTCTGCCTAACCGCTTTCCAAGGGCCTTCACCTTGGGGGCTGTGTTCTAACGTATACACTTTGGAGGGACACATAACATTCAAACCCATAGCAATCTTTCCGCTTGCTAAGTTGAAGAATTAGTTCAAAGATTCAAAGAAATTAACTTCTAAAAATGCGTTGTGATTTCTATCTAAATTTTGAATGACCCAGATAAGAAGTAACTCCAAAAAGGCTGGCTCCAAAGGCAGCACTCTCCTTGGGTTTTTGCTTCTCCCGAGGTGTCTTTTGGTATGTCTTACACAGCTCGTGAAGGTCTTTCCTCAACAGAGCAGTGGTTTTGGCTTCACTACACACGAGGCCATGTCACGTAGAATCAGGAGGGAAGGTTTGGAGAGCTTTTCTAATAACATCTGAAAAAGGAAATAGCCATTTTCATGAAGAAACTGCCCTCATTTAACTGGAAAACATGTTATCTTTTCTTTCACAGGGGGAGTTCCCCTGGAACAACAAGGATTTCCGCAATCTGGCCGTTTTGGGGGCAGGCGTTGCCATGGGATTTTTCTACTTCTATTTTCGAGATCCTGGAAAGGAAATCACTTGGAAGCACTTTGTACAGTATTACCTGGCCAGAGGTCTGGTGAGGGCAATTTATGGTCTGTCTACCAGGAAGGAGGGTGGTGTACCCCTGCACGTGATCCGTGATACCCTGGAGAGGTTGGGAGTGCCGAGGCCTTGGTCGAGAATTCGCGTGTGATGGATATCTCGAGCGGTCTCACCCTTGGGGCTTAGACAAAACAGGATTTTACTTTTCCAATAACTACTCTAACAGAATGGTGTTACACTCACTTTCTTGCTGAGTGGAGATTTCCTTAATGTAATTGCCTGACTTTATCTTTTTTTAGGTTTGGCTTCTAAGAGTTCTATTTGTCCGTTTATCTTTAAATGTCAGTCTCATAACTGATTGAGATCTTTTCTCTCCCCTTAGTGTGCCGCTGGCCCTGCTGCCTGTCTGTGTCTGTGCAGAGACACCACTTGTCCTGCACAGGGCGTGAGTTTGTCAGGGTGCTGAGGTCAAGCGAAGTGCTGCTTCAGCGTGAACTTACACAAGGGCGGCTGCCTGGCTTCACTGCTGCCCTCAGAGATGTTTGCTAAACGATACACTGTTAATAGCTGAGCTTTTTTCTGTTGAAACTCCTTTCCTGTCAAGGTTTGTGGCCAAGGTGTTCTGTCTGGTCACAGGGCACGTGCCTGTTTTCAGAGAGGCCCTTGACGATGATGCTGCCTACAGGAGTGTTTGTGGGAGGAAGGGGGGAGCTGCAGCCCAGCCCCTCCCTGCCGTGGACCTGCCACCTCCAGGTGTAGCTGTAAGGAGCAGTGGGACAGGTGTGTCAGCCCAGGATGTCTTTCTGTCCATGGATTCTGGACAGATTCTAGAGCTTCTGAGAAGTCCTTCCCAAGTGTCTGACATGCTGGCGGTGACAAGGTCGTGTTGTGGTCGGGAGGCATCTCAGTAATAGACACATCCACTTTGGTCACGTAACCCTAAGTCTTCACTTAGTTTCCAGAAGAAGTTGTGTTGGTGTAGTGGTTTCAGATTCTGTGGAGAGCCAAGAGAGCACCAGTGTTTTCCTTGCACATGATGCAGCGGCGTACCCTCCCCTCAAGTTGTGCTTTTTCCACATTGCTTCTCGGGGGGCCGTGTTCGCCTGCTGGACACCCGTGTGTAGTGGTGCTGGCAGCTTGTGGGTGTTCGGGCCTGCGTTTTCATTCCTGTTGGCACCATTATCTTGTGGTACCTGCAGCTGGGCGGACAAGATGTTTCTGAATCCACTCTGTATTTAAGACGTCACTGTATCATTTATAAGACTTTTATTTGTATTCTTTTTGGATTTTTAAGCCAGTCTGGGATCTTGGTGCTCAGATGTATGAACTTTTAATTCCGCTTCTGGAATTGGTTTCTGTTTATTAAGATAGAAATAGATTTGTACTCCAGGTTTAAAACGTCCAAGTTAATCAGGAGACAACGCTTGGATCTGTCCTGCCGAGTGTGCGCAGTCTCTCGGATACAGCTGGAGGCTGTGTCTGCACTGTGGAATGTGTCTGAGGACCAGGCCCGTGATTTGCTGTTGAACATCCTGCCCACTCCCTCAGCCGTTCTGATTGTTTTTCTCTTTCTCCCAGGTGGACCGTCTGGAAGTCGTGAACAAACAATTTGTACGTGTTATTCCTGCCCCTGGGACGTCTTCTGAGGTGAGGGATGGGTTTAAGCCTGAATGTTCAGACAGGTTTTTTAAATGTGAAGTGTGATTTTCTGTTTTTTCAGTAACATGCCTGAATTAGCATCCAGCAACAACCCGTTAATGTGGTGGTTGTCTCACTGACATGTATCACTAACACAGTCTTCTAGTAGGATGGGAGCCCATGTAAGACCATAACTGTGATTCACATTTGACAAGTGATGTGTGAGAACCACTTGCCACGGTTTAAGAGAAGAGAAGAATAAAAAGACAAAAGGACTAAGGCAAACTTCAGCAGTTGCACTTTCATCTAGAACTTGAAGTCTTAAGTTTAGGGGGGCCAGAACCGAAGGGTCATCTGCTGTTAGCATAGTTTCCTTTGAAGCTAGCCTCAGGGTGGGACTTGTCCGTGTGTTGGAGCTTAGGGATAGGAGAAGAGGTGTGGCTGGAAGAGGAGCAGGAGGAGGACTGCAGGCTGTGGCGAGACGCATGGCTGGGTGGGTCTCAGTGACGCAGCCTGAATCTGCTCTTGATCTCTGCAGAGGTTCGTGTGGTTTAACATCGGCAGTGTTGAGACCTTTGAGCGAAACCTGGAGTCTGCTCAGTGGGAGTTGGGGATTGAGCCCAGCCACCAGGCAACAGTGGTCTACACCACCGAGAGCGACGGGTGAGTCAGGGGATGTGGGTGATGCCGTCTCATCTGGGGCCTTGGGTCTGAACACAAAACAAAAATTCAGTGTTTAACCTATTTTCAGATGTGGTTCTCTCCAGTATGTTACAGGCATCTGCTATTATTTACAATGTCTACGGTAAAAAAAAAAAAAAAAAAATATATATATATATATATATATTTGTTAGCTCTGCTTTTATTGCGAAGAGAATTGAAACAGGGAAATATTTAGCTAGGGAGCCTTCAAAAAGTGTTGCACGGGTGTTGATATCATCACCGTAGCGCAAATTCCCTGAGCCTTGTAGGAAGCCTTCCAAAATTTGGACCCACAACAGAATCCCTGTGAGAGTCCTTTCAAAATGCACCACCACCCCCTCCGTCCCCCACTCCTGTTGAACTGGAATGTCCAGAGGTGGGGCCCGAGCACCTGTGACTTCCCCCGTCTCCCTGGCGCTGGAGGTCCCCTCTCACAGCCCTGCAGTTCCTGACTGTAGCACCTGACACGGGCTCAGGCCTTACTTCCCCATGCTTGAATCCCCCCCACACGGTATGTTTTTAAAGTGATCATGCACATAAGACGAGGGCAAATAGCAGAGTAAATACAGTCTGTACATCGCAGGACCTAGCACAGAAGTCGGTGTTGCTGAGCCTGGATCCTGCTCTCATGTTTACTTCCTGGGGATGTGACTTCTTGTCTTCTCGGGCCCTGCCCCTCCGAATTCGAAGCTAAATCAGGAGAGAATACAAGCTCAGTGTCAGCTGCAGCCAGGAGGAGCGTAAAGAAGTGGGAAAGCAGTGATTTAGGTGGTTTCTTTAACTTCTAGACATGCATTTAAGGGTGGAGTGGAGGTTGCAGTGGGGATGAGAGAAGGTGAGGTAGGTAGAATTCTGGAGTTTAATTCTCAGAATCCTAGTACTGGGGCCTGAAGTGCCTACAGGTTGCTACTGGAGCTCCTGAGTGTCACCTGGGTGCTGTTTATTGCTGACTTGGGCTTTGTTTTCACTTTTGAGTTGCCAGGAATACTGGTTGTATGTTGGCCTGCGTTATGGGAATTGAGGGTTTGATCTGGGGCTGAAAGTGACTCGAGCCCATTGGGGGAATGGGATAGTCTCATGTCACTGGAGGGCAAGAGAAAAGATAAAATATAGGTAGAACAGGAAGGCGTTTTGTGTCTTCCTGAGATAAAACAGGCCCTGTCAGCCCAGCTGTGAGGAGGCCACGCTGGGCCCGCTGGAGCACTGCGGAGTCAGCCGCCTTCCCCTCCCCATCAAGCCAAGCACAGGGAAAGTCAGGGAGACAGAAATGCCTGGGACCAGAGCCCTCAGTACTGGGGAGGCCAAATGCTTGACAGACTTTGGCACATTTAAAAAAAAGAAACTGCTCCCTTTTGTGTAGCAAAATAAAGTTGTAGAGCAGTCTGCTCTTCTTGGCCTGAAGGTGATATTTCTGACCTTTCTCCTGAGTGACTGTGACCAGTGGTTTTCTTGGCTTTTCCAGCTCTTTCTTGCGAAGCCTGGTGCCCACGCTTATCCTGGTTGGCATTCTCTTCTATGCTGTGAGGAGGGGCCCCATGGGAGCCAGGCGCAGTGGGCGAGGAGGGGGCCTCTTCAGTGTTGGTGAGACAACAGCCAAGATCTTAAAGAACAACATCGACGTGCGATTTGCAGATGTAGCTGGTTGTGAAGAAGCTAAATTGGAAATTATGGAGTTTGTGAATTTCCTGAAAAATCCCAAGCAATATCAGGACTTAGGAGCCAAAATTCCAAAGGTATTGATTCCAGAAAACGTGGTAACACTCTGAGCCCTAAATCAAAGCCAGAGATTGCTATGGTTCAGAGTTGACGGATACTTGACAACTTAATTTGTTGTGATGGTTTTGCATTTTACTAATCACAGCAGGGAATGGAAATAGCATTTGCAGAGTAGAATGGTAAAAATCCTTATCTGATGGACTTAAGACCACAGTGAGTTAATGTTTTTGGTTTTTTTCTTGAAACAGGGTCTTGCTCTGTTGCTGGGGCTGGAGTGCAGTGGCATTATCATAGCTCACTGCAGCCTCAAACTCCTGGGCTCAAGTGATCCTCCTGCCTCAGCCTCCCGAGTAGCTGGGACTACAGGCGTGCACCACCACACCTGGCTAATTTTTTTATTTTTTTGTAGAGATGGGGTCTCGCTCTTGCTCAGGATGGTCTCAACCTCCTGAGTTCAAGCAATCCTCCCACTGCAGCCTCCCAGAGTGCTAGGATTACAGGCACAAGCCACTGCACCCGGCCCCTAGTTTATATAATATTAAATTACGTAATTAAAATAAGTACAACTCGAATAGACAGGTTTGGGATCAGATATAGCTGCTGCTTGGTAGCCCCAGGACCCAGCTGGTAGGACAGGAGAGTGCTGCGTCTTGGGATGGGTGTGGCTTGGGGTGCCCCACAGAGGAAGCAGAGCTGTGGGGATTGAGCTTCTGGGTGAACAGAGGGCAAGTTTATCTCTTGGTTCCTCTGTGGGGTCATGGACGCTTTGAGGGCCTGACAGAAGCCCTGGATTCTTTTCCCAGAAATACTTACATCCACACAAAGGTAATTGACAGCCCCTTCAGGTCATCTCTGGGCTTCGGACCAGGCTGAGGACCCCTTGTGTAGCTGGTCCTTGGAGGACACCCAGAGCCCTGTAGCAGCCTTGTGTCCCCCCAGCTCCTCTTCACAAGGTGGGCACCACTGCACAGTTTATTTTGAGCAACAACAAAAAATGAACCACCGTGAGCCCAGGGGTTAGGTCCGGGAGGTGACGTGCCTGTTTCAGACTCTGGCGCGTGTGGAAGTGCAGAGCCGTCTGCTCCAGGTCGGAGCTCGGCTGCAGCAAGCCCAGCTGCCACTCACCTCTGTTCACAGGCCGACGCTGCACTGGGCACTTCCATTTGCTTTTCAGAATTTCTTTCAGGTGCTTGTATTACCTGGAGAAAATCTGTATAATAGAGGGAGGGGATGGAGCAGTCAGGTACGGAGAAAGGCCTCTCCCTGGAGTATTAGTCCCCCTCCCCAGCCAGGCACGGGCTCTGTAGTGGGCTCCATGCTGTGCTGTGGGTGTCAGGAAACAGTGAGTGGGCTCAGGGCCCACCTGGCTTTCCATCTTCTCTTGGATATGAAGTGTGATGATTTCCTAGAATCACCACTCCCTCCTCTGTGACTCTCTCATGAAGAACTGGCTGTGAGGGGTCAGCACGGGTGTATTTCACACAGCACGTGGGTGGGACCCAGTGTGTTGTTGGTGAGTCCGGCCCCCTCCTGCCCTCTGGAATGTTCTCATGCTGGCAAGGGATGGCTCCTGAAACTGTCGTAACTACGGAGTGTGAAGACTGTTCACAACTGTGGGCTGAGGTGTCATGCCCACCTCCGTGCCGTGCAATGGCGGGTGCTCTGAGGCCATATGCAAAGGGCGTGGCTCCAACGCCTCTGTGTGGGCTTCAGTTTTGTGCCCCCCTTATGTGAGTATTTTGTTTTTAAACACTTAAAAAAACCACTTTATGATCTCCTTTGAGATAATCAGATATTAACCTACACCCGACACTAGGAATGGAGTAATCCAAGCCCCCCCTTTAAATCTTTTAATTTTCAGGCATAATGATATGCATAGAATGGAAATAGAGCTGTGTTACAAGGGTGTGCACAGGTGATTTTAAACCTTAAGCCAGTGTAGAAGAAGCAGGTCACAGAAGAGAAAGCAGGTACGGTGGACACGAGCAGGTGCCCAGTCTTAACGACCAAAGAAGCAAATCTTGAAAATGAGATGGCGTTTCCGTCCTTCAGACTGGCAAGGTTGCAAAGCTTGGCAGAACTCACCGTGGCCAAAAATTTGGAGAGGTGGGCTGAGGTTCATTCCTAGTGGGAGTGTGAATTGGTACCACTGTTTTGGAGAACGGTTTGATTATAATCACTGAATAAATGTACAGAGCCTTTGATCCAGGAGTCTGCCCCAGGAGTTTTTCCTACAGAAATGACCTCATTTTGAACGGGGATGTGAAGGACTGTCATTATGTCTATAATGTTTGACCTTTTTGTGGTGAGCATGCATGAATTTTATAAGCAGAAAAGATCTTTTAAAAACCTCAGGCTGTAAGAGTGGTGTGTTTGATGTGATTCTTGTTAGTCAATCCCAGAAGTCTGTTTGAGAGAGCAAATTCCTAGTCGACTTCAAGTAGAAAACAGCACTCCTTCCTCCCGGTACCATCTGCTCCCCTCGAAGAACCCCGTGTCCCCCTTCTGTTTCAGGGAGCCATGCTCACCGGCCCTCCTGGGACTGGCAAGACACTGCTCGCCAAAGCGACTGCTGGGGAGGCCAGTGTGCCCTTCATCACCGTGAACGGGTCTGAGTTCCTGGAGATGTTTGTTGGTGTTGGGCCAGCAAGGGTAGGTGAACGGGAGGCTGCTGCCGGCGGCCGTGGCGTGCCTGTCCCTAGCCAGAACTGGTCGCTTGTGCCACTCAGGCCTGGTGTGGGGCCCTCTGTGGGCGCGTGTGTGAGGGGCTGCTGTGCCCAGGCGGAACAAGGCAGAGTTCAGAGGAGAGGGTGCAGAGTGGGCTGTCACCCTTGTCTTTATTCTGGCAGCAAAATAGACTCTACGTGGACTCCTGTTGCAGGTTCGTGACATGTTTGCAATGGCCCGAAAGAACGCTCCTTGTATCTTATTCATCGATGAGATTGACGCGGTCGGCAGGAAGCGGGGCCGAGGGCACTTCGGGGGCCAGAGCGAGCAGGAGAACACCCTGAACCAGTTGCTCGTGGAGATGGACGGTGAGGGATGCTGCCCGCAGCCCCTGGTGCGGCACCACCTGCGGGTGCCCAGGAGCTGTCTGGACTCTCGTGCAGCCTTTTTTCTGCAGCCACACTCCCTGGAGAGCATCCCTGGCTATGCTGTTTTTAAGGAAGGCTGCCTTCAGGCAGACACATGCAGACAGCTGTGTTAGAGTCGGTATCCCCAGGTATCCACGAAAGGTGGGGCAGATGCACTCACCTGCCGTCACCTGGGGTGTGGAGATACCTGCTTCTCTGGGGAGGTGGACCAAGTAGTTGCGCATGGGGTGCTGAGGGCCGAGCCTTGTCCTGCTGCTCCCCCCTCACCCAGGCTCGCACAGGTGCCCAGACCTGCTTCCTCCCAAAGTGATTCTAGTTAAGGTGTGGTCCATGGCCTGTCAGCCCTGCTGAAACTTCACGGGACATGTCTAGGCATCTGTGTCTAGGCACCAGTCTTTGAATTGGGAAAAGCTTTCACTAGAACTTGGGCAGATTTTATCTGCACTTTGGCTGTAGGGCTTTGTTAGGGTCCCTAAGACCACCGGATTCAGTGATTTGCTAGCAGGCGTCCCAGGACAGTGTGTAGTTGTGCTCACAGCTGTGATTGTTACCGTGAAAGGACACAGCAAAATCAGCCCAGGGAGAAGGGAGTGGGGAGAAGTCTGGACCAGACCAGGCGCAGTGTTCAGAGCCCTCCCCCAGGAGAGCCACACGGGACGTACTTGTGACAGCACGTGCCGACCAGGGAGCTGGTGAGACACCGTTCCCCAGGTCTTCACTGGCGGCTGGTCA